GGGGCACGACTGTAATGGAAAAATCCATTACTGAATCATCGAAACAACATCTATTGTCTACACCAGCTCATTCTGATTCTCCATCTGCATCATCTAAGACCTCGAAGACACACAATCGAGACCCTCGATACCAAAGTCCTCGACTTCAAAAACAACTTCTAAATGTCAGAGACGTACTGAAACTGCTCCAGCTCCGGAGCCTGTTCCTCCTTAACGAGCTAAACAGTCTAAGCCTACAAACATCCCACCACAACCACAACAACTCTCTGAATCGATTTTGGTCGGATCTCCCTCAGATGATGACAGATTTCCATCCCATCAACCCTGTTCTCAGTCTCCAGAATGGGATGATAAAGTTGACCGACTAATCTCCTCACCTCCCAGTCCACAACCTTCCATTTCTTCTAGCAATCCTTAGTTTATTCCATCGTCTGAGGATTCCCGTCCTGAACGGCTCAACACTGTTCCATATTCAGTGCCCTCGGATTGCCCACTGATCCCTAACCAGAACCAGAACATTAACAAACTCGACAGCTCGCTTCATCGCATGTGATTCAAACCTACGCTCAGCACGCGCATCAGGTTGCCATTTGCCCTGACCAGTGTTCTGCTTGACAACCTGCATCGACTAGTTGACCAGATGTTTTACCCAATTCAATAATATAGTCTAGTAGTTGGCCTACCTCTCAACAGCCATCAGTGTCGAAGTGGCCACATCACCGAGAGGTACCTATACCTCAACCTGCTCCTCACTTGGTATCGAAAAAACCTCGAACCATCGAGCAGATTTCATCCACACATGAGGCTTTTGCAACCCCAGCCTCCCGATACTTTCCTACTACTACAATAGATGATGGAAATCACTCTTCACACTCGGCATCGCCAGTGTCCATGCTGTGCCATCACATCAGCAACCTCCGTTTTCGACATCACAAAGACACAGGCTCTGATATTGACGATCCTCAATATCCATCCTGCTCCATGGACACACGCACCATTCTGTTACATCAAAAGAGTTCCCATCCTCTGGTAAATCCAAGTCATTGACCCCAGCACCATAACGTTCTGTTACATCAAAAGAGTTCCCATCCTCCGGTAAATCCAAGTCGTTGACCCCAGCACCGTAACAACATCGAGCTCAACACCGAAGTCCATCCCTACCAATCAAGGTCCATCAAAGCTCAACCACCATCTTTTGATGTTGATGGTCCTCTACATTGACAGATGTCCATGGACATGCCGCCTCCATCTTTTCCAACTCCTAAGTGGCAATACTACAAAACTCAGCCTCTCAACACCAATACTAGCTCAAACCTTCCAACAAGAAGGTCTCTCCATTGCCGAACAACAGATGCTTTCTGCCCGCCACACCGTAGACGCTACAGCCAAGTCCATGGCCACTTTAGTAGCCCTACGCTGCTTTTCCTGGCTCAGAATGGCCAACTTAGCCAAAGATGCTCGGGCATGTATCACAGACCTCCCCTTTGATGGAGCAGGTCTTGTTCATGCTGAAACTGACAATATACTAGAGAACATACAAAAGAAATGTTCAGCAGCCAGA